CCCGCCCGCCCCGCAGCGGGTCTGCACCGTCCACTGCAGGTTCCGGGAGCGCATCGAGGAGAACGGCTACAACACGTACGCCTCAGTCCGCTGGCACCGCCGCGCCCGGCCCATGTTCCTGGCACTGGACGGGCAGGGGGCCCCGCGGTGCGGTGGCCAGACACGGCGGCACCACCCATCCACCCACTTCCTGCCCATCCTGGTGTCCTGAGGCCCCAAGGGGCCATGGGGAACGGCCTGCTGGAGGTTCCAGAAAATGCTGTAGCTGGACAGCCAGGGCGGAAGGCCGGAGGAGGCCCAGGCTGTGGCCGAGCACATGTGCAGTCACTTGTTTCTCTCACAAGCATTAATGGAGTGCCTGCTGTGTGCGGGACCCCCACAGATGCAGCCTGGCCCAGGGAGCTGCCGTCTGAGTCTGCGGGGTGGTGGACACCGAGCTGAGCGGGGCCATAGGTGTCCAGTCCTGAGCTGGAGGGCGAGGCAGCCCCGACAGGGCACCTCCCGGGCTGGAGACGGAAGATGTGGCCATGCAGCTGTCGGAAGGTCCACGAAGGGCACTGCGGCTGGGACGCACTGAGCAGAGGCTGGGAGGTGGAAGAAGCTGGGGCAGCAAGGGGTCTGGGGACCGGGGAGGGGGCCACATGGACACACCACGGAGTGACAGGTCCTGGTCCCAGGCCCTGTGGACGTGTCACCTCACGTGGCCGAGGAACTTTGCGGATGGATTAACTTGAGGCCCCTGAGATGGGGGACGACCCTGGATCCCCGGGGGCCCAGGGTCATCACAGGGTCCTCATCAGAGGGAGGAGGAGGGTGAGAGGCAGAGAGAGACGGGAGACGCTGCGCTGCGGGCTGTGCAGACGGAGGAAGGGGCCCCGAGCCCAGGACGCGGCCTCTAGAAGCTGGAAAAGGCAGGAGACGGTTCTCCCTGGAGCCTCCGGGAGGAAAGCCCTGCCCAACCTGGAGTTTAGCCCAGTGGGACCACGTCGGACCCCCGACCTCCAGGACTCTGAGGTGACGAATGTGTGTGACTCATCACAGCCACCATGGGAAGCATGGACAGTGTCTGAGATCCAACGAAAATGTCTTCAGAGCTGCTAGGTCCTTGGGGGGCAGGCTGGGGGCTCCATGTCCCCCAGGGAGGGGTGGGCGCCTGGCACCGAGCCCCCGGCCCCGGGGGAGGTCCAGCAGCCAGGATAGTGGGGCTAAGAGCCAGGTTCAGACCCCGGCTCTGGGCCATTCCACTCAAGCCTCAGTTTCCCTTCTATAAAACAGGGATAAGGGGGCCATTTACCCCACAGGATGTGTGGGGACCAACCGGGGAACCCCTCCTAAGCCAGGTGGGACACCCCACCCGTCCTGGCCTCACCCCCCCATTTAACATACAGAGAGCAGAGTCAGGACACCTCTGGGGGTGCAGACTGGACGCCCACTTTGGTCAGGGCCAAGGGTTCCCCTGGTGACCCTGTGCTTGGGAATGGCCCCCATGAACGGGCGTGCGGTGGGCTGCCATGGGGTCCCTCGCCAGGCCCCCGTTCCCTCACAGACAGGGTTTCCGGCCTCACGTCTGCGAGGCAGGAGGCTGACCGGCACTGGCCCGCGCCCAGGCGCAGCAGGGACAGCGGTGGGGATGGTGTGGTCTGGCACAGAAGGAAGACGCCGACCGCCGGCTTCTCTTTCTGAGAAGGTGTATTTTTAAACAGCTTTCGAGATACACGAGCTGTTTCCTTTAGACAGTGCTCCTCGGAGCGTGCGGTTCTCCTCCTCCTCCTCCTGGTTCTGCTGGCCGACCTCAGGTCCGATCCCCCGCACTCGCTCAGGGCGGCCGAGGCCCGCGGGCGGCATCCCCGTCCTTGCACAGACCATGCAGGGCCGCGAGTGAGCTCAACGTCCATTTATTTCAAAGCAGTAATAATTTAAAATTATAAAAACCTTTCCACCGCGGGACACGTAGGGGTGGGATGAGCGGCCACGGGACGGGGAAGCGGGGACACGGGGGCCACGCGTGCCCGCCCCTCTGCCGGCCCTTGGGACATCCTGGGAGGCTGAGCACCCCGCGGCAGGAGGCGGCGGGTCCTCCAGCCTCCGCCCGTGGCTGGGCGCGGCCAGCCCCACAGTCCTGGGGCCACGGGGCCTCCCGGGCGCGGGCTGAGGCCCTGTGCGCGCTTGGGGCAGGCTCAGGCACTGCCGGCTGGGTTCTCGCTGCCCGGAGAGCTGGAGGAGGACGAGGAGGAGGACGAGGAGAAGCCCACGCCGCCCAGGCCCGGCGGGTTGGTGGCCGTGTTCTGTCCTGTGAGGCTCTTCCGGCAGACGGGGCAGCTGTCGTGCTTCAGGGGGACAGGGGGGACGGGGGGTCAGCGGCGGCGGGGCGGGGGGGGGGGGGGCGCCCGCCCGCCCGCCGGCTCACCTGCTCCAGCCAGGGCACGATGCAGCCGTCGTGGAAGAGGTGGTTGCAGGGCAGCTGGCGCACGCGCTCGCCCAGCCGGTAGTCGTCCTTGCACACCGGGCACTCCAGCCCACAGCCTGCGGGGGGGGGGGGGGGTGAGCCCGGCACCCGCACGCAGCCCCACCCGAAGGCCCCGGGGGGGACACGACAGGCGACAGGAGCCTCCCCCAGGCCGCCCTCATCCGCCACGGACACCCGGCACCCACCTACGTGCTCCTCGGTGACGGGGACGGTGGGGAGGGCCTGGATCTTCTCCTTGTCGGCGGGCGGGGGACCCGTGTTCTCAAACTGGTTGAGCAGCTAAAAGACAAGAGGCGCGCTGGGCGGGCGCGCCCCCTGTGGGAGCACCGAGGCCCTTCGTCCTGGTCCCCGGACGCCCTGGGCTCAGAGGTCAGCACCCCCAGGGCCCCCTCGGCTCCTGCCATCCTGCCCCTCTCATCAGGGTCACCTCGCAGCCGGGGCCCGCAGCCTGGGGACAGCACAGCTCTCCAGGGGGTGGTCCCACCCGGGGCTCAGCCACACCCAGGGTCCGTGTCCCAGGGACAACACTCCATGGGCTCGGTGGCAAAGGACCCTGATGGGCGATATCCTGCCTCACAAGTGTCACCGAGGTCACAAGGAACACATGCCTGAAGACCCGTGGGAGGGAGTGAGGGGAGCGGGGACGAGTGGGGGCCCCGTCCATCCAGCCCTCGGGGGAGGCGGCCGTGAGCTGGGTCCCAGGAAGGGGGCGGCCCCCCCCATACCTGCGTGATGATGGCGTCCAGGCCGTTGGCCCCCCAGGCGTAGTCCATCGGGTTCGAGTGCAGGACGCCCCTGGGCAGAGAGGTGGGAGGTCGGGGTTCAGGGGCGGAGGACCGGGCGGGCGGGTGACCCCCTACTCACCAGGGGCCCAGGCCCAGGCTGGGGACGGCAGCCGGAGTGATGATGCCGTTGACCAGCTGCTGGATGATCCTGGAACAGAGTGTGCGGCGGTCAAGCCCGGGCAGAGGCAGGACGTGCGTCTGCATGCAGACTCTCGTGTCCAGAGGCCGTGTTCTCAACCGTAAGACACCGCGAGGAGTGGGATCGACAAGAGGACCGGGGAGGCCCCTCGCCTGTCACCACCCCGACGCCCCCTCACGACAGGAGCATTCTGGGCACCTGGAGGGGCCGCGAGCCCCGGGGTCAGCCCCGCTGTTCACAGCGGCCCCACGACACGCCGGCCAAGGTCACTGGGAGGTCACAGTGGACCCAGAGCCTGAGCCGGGTGGCGTGGGGGCCGCGGACGCCCAGGCATCAGGGATGGGCCGTGGCCTGAGCCAGAAAGTCCTCCCGCTCTCAGAGAGGGTACCGAGCAGGGGGTTCCGTGTGGTGAGCCCGAGCCCGGTGGGGGCGGGGGCCTCTCTGGGGCCGGTCAGGCCACGGTCCATCCAAAGAGCTGAGCGAGACCCTGTCTCCTGGCGGACGTGCGCTCGGTTATTCACGTTCTGGTGGACGGCGGCCCCTCCTGTGTCCCCAGTTAGAGAGGCCGTCCCGGCACCGATCCCGCACACGGGCGGGAGCTGTGGCTCTGTGGGGCCAGGGGTGTTGGGGGGTGCAGACCCCTCTCAGCGGGACGAGGGGGCACCCAGCAGACACGAGGACCCGCCCTGTCCAGTTCCAGCCCCACTTCGGGCCCACGCCCCCACCTGTACCTCACCCTACATGGTGGGCTCGGGCAGCCCTGCTCGCACCCCCGGGACCCGTTCTGCCCAGAGGATGGCCAGGAGCCAGCGCCACACCCCGAGCTCACAGAACCTTCTGGAAGGTGGATGCCGCTCTGCCCAAGCAGGGGTGGGCAGGCCGGCGGCCGCGAGCGCCACGCTCACCCTTCCAGCGTGGGGACGCCCTCGTGCCGGCCGGGGGCCCGCCGCGCAGTGAGGCGGGCGCGGGGCTGCCGGGCGCCATAGCGGTGCCGCGAGGGCTGCTCCCTGTCGCGACGGCCCTCGGGGTCCCGGCCGTCGTCCGGCTGTGCCCCGGGTGGCAGCGTGGGCAGCTCGAAGCTGTCGTCAAAGATGCCGAAGGCGAACTGCCCGTAGCCCTGCGGCAGCGTGAAGAGGTGCTGGTCCACGTTCTGGGGGAGCAGGGGCGCCGTGACCGCGGGCAGGAGCCCGGCACTGCCCCACCTGCCGGGCCCAAGGAGACGCAAGACACGGGGGTCCCAGCGCGGGGGACGCGGAGAAGGGGCAGTCCCCCACCGCGGGCCGGGCAGGCGAGAGAAACCCCGTGGGGAGCCCGGCACCAGCCTCTCAGAGGGAGGCCGCAAGACAAGGGGCCGCGCCGTGCCCCCGCGAGCAAGGGGCGCCGCCGTGGTCTGGGCGGCCGCACACTCACCTCGAACGGCTGCCTGGCCTGGTCCGAGGGGGCCGCGGAGGGGGCGGAGCTGCTCTCTGCACTCCTGGGGGACGCGGCGGTCAGCGGCAGGCCCCCACCCGCTCAGGAGAGTCTCGCGGCGGAGACCCCCGCCAGCCCCTCGCCCCCGGGGGCCGTGTTACCTGGTCTCTTCCGGAAGCTCCTCGATGAAGCCGGACTCGCATCTCGGGCAAATGTAGTCCTGTGGAGGAGAGGCAGGTGAGGGACGCGGCCCGTGGAGCCCGCCTGGCGCGGCGTGGCGAGCGGCAGGGACAGGTGTGACCGCCCCGCCCCCGCGCCCCGGGTCTGGCAGCCTGTGCGCCCCTCGGTGGCAGACGCGGTTTCAGGGCTGCCCTGGGCCACGCCTGCCGGTGAGGGCTCTGACAGGCCTG